ATACCCAAGTCTTCAGAGACATCATATGTTTCATTTAAATCTGGATGTGTATCTGTATTACCTTCGTTTTCATCCCGACGTTCAGTGTCTTGTGTAACTGGTGCTATTGTGTCATACGCATCATCATCACATTCTTGTAAGTGATGTTGAATTTCATTTAAATCTTCACTACAAACCGCATATTCTTGCATTTGGTCACTGATTTCATCACGACGAGCTTCGTAATGTTCTTGAAAGGAAGAGTAAGCTCCCATTAAATCGACCTGTTCATTTCGCCATGGAGTGAAAAGCATGATCAACTCACGATAATGTTTTCCTGGTTGAGATTCTTTGTTAAACCAAACACTGCGGATAATTCTTGCTTGTGATCTTTTTTTGATAGACTTTTTAGATGAAACACAACTTTCAGTGTTTTGAACACCTAGGTCATCATCATTATTTTCATCCTCATCTTCCAAAGGAAGGTTGTCAATATCTGATTTTTTAACAGATTTCTTATACTTGTTCAGCCCAGATGAGTCGTACCAAGCTGCGCAGTCAGCTAATGTAATATGTTTTAAACTGTCTGGTCGTTCTACATATTGTTTCAGAAGTCCACCAGAGTGAATTTCTTCAGACTCGTCTGACATCTTCTCAATCTCACTGAGAGGTTTCAATAGTTCAACACGATCACTTGGAGGAGATGTGTTAATGAATACAACATTTCGAGAAGATTTTCTCATGGGAAGTTGCAGAATGAGGTACACTGCTTCTTGTGCACTTATTTCAACAGAGTTTAAAAACTTGTTGCCAATGTCACGAACCTGTTGTTTGATGGTGGAATTACCTTCCTTAGCTTCAGCACATGCGTTACGTAACAAGTCACTCATTCCTTTTTGAGCCTTCGAAATATAGGAAACAATGTACATTGCACAGGCATATACATCCAGCACAAATTGAATGTCCATGTTCGCTCTCCAAGCTTGGAGGCAAGCAGGATTATAATTATTAATCCTTAATTCATTGGGACTTCTTTTTAGAAATATTGTTGGACAATTTAGTGATGACCGAATTGCAAGAATATATTGATATTCTGAAACATCTAGTTCTTTTAGAAGTTGATCAAATGTTACGTCTTCTCCCTCTTTTAAATCATTTAGTTTATTCTTAATATTTTTCCACAACTCTTTTCTGGCTCTTATGACAGTTTCAGAAGCATTGTCATCAAGTGGATGAAGTATCTGTGTTGATCTCATGGGTGGCTGAGGATAATTAAATCTAGAAACTTTTTTGGAGTTTTTTCGACATGTGTGAGAATGTCTATGAGTTTGTCTGTTTACAAGATCAAATAATTCAGTGTCATTATCAGGTTTTCTACAAGTTATTATTTGGTCAATGAAATTTACATCTTCATCTTTATCAACACCAAATACAGGTGCATTTTCAAGCCATATGAGCATATGGATGTGAGGCGAGCCTCTCTGTTGGTATTCAACCCTGTAAAACCAATCTTTCAGTTTCCCTAATGGGGCAATTTCACTCATTAAAAAATCTTTTAAGAAAGTATTAAATTGGTAATCAAAATGCCTTGCACAAGTTACTGGGTCACTTTGAATTAGTCTACACTTTTCATCCCAATTTAAATTATCTAATTGTTCATCACTATAGTCTTTGTGATCAACAAGCTTACCTTAGTGAGTGTGAATCGTAAAACTCAGCCTACTACATTTTCTTATACTCTTGGGGGATTACCTTTGGGAAAAACAAACTGTGAAAAAGACCTTGGGGTGTTAATAAAAAGCGATCTGAAGTGGGACGCGCATGTTTTGTCAATTTCAAAGAGGGCTAACAACGCTTTGGGGTACATTAGAAGAGGGACAACAGGATTCAATGACGTTGATACAAGGAAAGTACTCTACATGGCGTTAAAAATAATTTAGTTCATGCATCACAAGTTTGGGCTCCACAGTCAGTACATCTAATCAAGCAATTGGAATCTTTGCAGAGAAGAGCAACAAAGTATATTCTATGCCTACCATATGATACTACTATTACATACAAAGACCGGCTCTTAAAATTAGATCTTTTACCGATGTCGTATTGGCATGAATATTTGGATGTGTTGTATTTGTATAAGCTGGCATCTGGCATGCTTTCTTTAAAGTTGCATGACTTCTTAAAAGTTAAACAACCATTACGTGTAACGAGAAGAAGTAATCCTTCATCAGGTTTAATGTTTGATATCCCAAAAGTACGTACAGTAACATATCAATCTAGTTATTTTATTCGAACTGCTAGAATTTGGAATGAACTGCCATCATCCATACGATTATTAGAAACTTTATGTCAGTTTAAAATAGTCTATTGAAATACTACAAAGATTGTCTAAAAACTATTTATGACACTGACAATCCAAGAACTTGGAAAACTATATGTCCAAAATGTCATAACTGTTCTGTTTTAGTAAAGCAATCACAGTGTTGCTGATTTTATTTTATTTATATTTTATAATGGGCCACTGTTATTGGGGTTTTTAACCCTGTTGTTGGTTCCTGACACTTTAAAGTATTTATGTGTGGTATTTGTACGTTTGTAATTTAATTTTTCTTTTTGTCATATCGAAATAAAAAAATAAAAAAATTAAATGATTCCATTTTGTTTCAGCAGATGAAAAACTACAAAATAATGATGCAGGTCCTAACTGCCGAATCATAGCAAACAAATCCTTTTTGGCTTTTTCAAAGTAAGGTGGGGAACCTCTCAAAGCTCTTAAAAATTTGTATCCTTCATCATGGCAAATGAGATTTGTTAAACCTTCCGGTGTTTTTAACTCACCAGCAGTAAGTGTTCTGTTTCCCATTTTACACTTGCGAATAGCAAGCTGAGATTGCCCCAGCAATAACTTCATCTGCATTTTTTTAGTTTTAAAAAATATGTTCTCAATACACATTGCAGCTCTTCGATCAGATCGTCTAAGTTCTGATTTACATATTTCACTGTAATGAACACGAGTTAATCTTTGCTTCTCATCTGGCCGCTTTTGACCTAAGAATATTCCTGGATAAGCTAGTTCCTCTGAATACTGATCTCTAAATATACTGAGCGGTCTACTACCTTCACCAGGTGCAACATTGTATATATGTTGTCTTTCAGTATCATCTACAAAATCAGTAGGTGTAAGCATACTGTCTGTTACACCTGCAGGAATTTCTGCTTCGTCTTCACTCCATTCATCTTCTGATGTTGAATTAGTTTGATCAACTGTAGTATTTTCATTGTCACTATTAGGTATTGTAACATCAAAGTATGATAACCAATGCTGATCAAATGTTATTCCTTGTTCTTGATATAGTTCACTAGTATTTACCAACCAAGCTGCAGCTTGCATCACTTTATTAGGTCTGACATTCAAAGACAAGGCAGAACTCTTATATTGCAGTCGACGTTTCAATTGAACTTTAATAGTCCCAGTATCTTGTGGTAACCTGGGTATCATGTTAACAGTATTACATATATCTGCTGGAACATTCACAACATTACCAGTAATTTTAAGTTGCCCTCCCCTGGGAGCTTGCATTATTTTTTGGAATGCCAATCTTGGAGCTATAAGTCTGCATTCCAATTCATTTAAATCAAAGAAATGAGGTTTTTCTGGAAACTTCAAGCCATTTGAAATTGCAGATGGTGGCACTTTATTCTTTTTAAGATGTTTGTCACATGTCAAACACAGCCATTCAATATCATTCACACTTTTAATACCTTGTAGATGTTTAGTAGAATTTGGATTGGACAATCGAAGTCTCTCGGCTGGACAAACACTATGTTTATACCATAATTGATCACAGCACGAACAAATATACAGAGGACCTGTTGATACAGATTTATGGAATTTATGTATCAATTGTGATACACTATTATGTGATACACTGTTATCATTACTGTGATGCTCTTGAGAACCTGATGGTGGACATGATTTGTTTTTTCCAGAACATCTTCTTTTATTTGCTTTATAATTAAGTCGTGCTTTTGCCAATCTTTGTTTTCTTTGTTCGACAGTCTCATTTTGCCTTTTCAACCTTTTTGTTTCTCGCTGGTGTTGAAGTCTAGTTTCCCTCTCTGCAACAGACTCTTGCTGTCTTTTCTCTCTTAGCTTTGCAAGTCTATTTTCCCTCTCTGCAACAGACTCTTGTTGTCTTTTCTCTCTTCGCTTTGCAAGTCTATTTTCCCTCTCTGCAACAGACTCTTGTCTTTTCTCTCTTCGCTTTGCAAGTCTATTTTCTCTCTCTGCAACAGACTCTTGTTGTCTTTTCTCTCTTTGCTTTGCAAGTCTATTTTCTTTTTCTTGTTGTTTTGTTCGTTGATTGCTTTTTCGGATTGTAATTGTCTCACTTTGTCTTTTCTGACTGCATTTCTCATGGTTATTTGATGTTGTGTTTATCTGTTCATTCACTGTGTTATTCAAAGTATTTGACAATGAAATGTTTCTATGACATTTAACACCCTTCAATTCAAAGGGAGTATCTTGTCCATGATAGTTACAACTGTGATGAAAAAAACTCACAAGGTTTTGAATTCCTTCAACAGAAACTAAAACACTATAACCCATTGCCGTTGGGATTCCATGCATATCTCGTGAATGAGAATCAAAAACTTTAAATACATCTGGGAAAGGCATTAAAACTGCAACAGTGTTTGCTTGAATAGTAAGTAAACATGCTTTATAATTACCAGCATCAAATACTTCATGAAAAGCATGTTCAAGTGTGACATATGGTTCGTTGCCTTGATCCATCCATAAAGCTCCAGAAAAAGAGTCGCTGTACTCCAAATTAAAAGTATCATTGTTGATAGACAATATTTCAGGAACATCAGTGAGCAACAAGAAATCTTTTTGAATGTGCTGACTAATTATGGCGTAAAGATTGTTTGCATTAATTAGAAGCATGTTCATAAGTGGTGTATCCCAAATATTAACAGATTTTATTTCATTGTATACAATAGCATAAATTGACATGGCAACACATTGTTTTCCAGCATTTATGCCAAACATGGATATATTACCTTGGTTTTTAGCCGTGTATATAACATAGATCTTAAAATTTGGCATATTTTAAACTTATGTGAAAATTAGAAATTGTCTAGTGGAAACATGCTGAGTGTTCAGCTGTCATTGTTGCCTGTTCGCAGACTACCATGCATGCCTTCGACGATCTTCGTCTCTTCAGCCTGCGAACAGGAGTTTATTCGGGTGGCCCACTGCGGCCCAGCCTCGTCGTCTCGTCCTCGTAAATCCTCGTATTATTACGAGGCCCACCCGAATAAACGCCTGTTCGCAAGCTATCGTCTCTTCGATTCGACCTCGTGCTTGCTTGTATGCGCTGTCCCATCTCGATTCGGAAAGCATTTGTTTGGCTGAATATAGGTAAGTTTTACATTAAATATTTATACTTTTTCAATGGGTTTTTCAATGGTTTAATAGAACTGATAGATGTACTATATAAACTGGTGGTTAGAGATGACAATTACAATCTGGTTGAGCATTTTTATACTGCACAACAGAATAAATTATACACTGTAATGCTGTCCGAGATAGGTGTCAGCATATAAAAGAAGAGATGAAAGGTTTGAAAACTCTTTAGAATTACAATATAACTCCTAATCTATGTTCTTGTTTACGTTTATTCAGAATGTAGTTCTTCATGGTCACGTGCGTATTGACACTATTGTATTTTTGCCCAATACTCAATGATATTTTACTGAGGAAAGTTTATATATAGCTACCCGTGAGGGGTCGTGACTTGAGCAATTGGGTAAATCTTGACTAACATAGATAATAATTATATTGTTATTCTAATGAGTTTCCAAATATCTAGATCTTTTCTATGAACTATGGTGTCAGACAGTCACATATATTAAAAGCAGCATATTTCTCAGACCACAAGCCTTATTGGTCCTCTAATCAGTCGCAAATATAAGCTTTATTTATTCATTTTTGTGGGTTTTTTTCATAGGAAGCAGTATATCGATATCATGGATAACAACTCTGATAGTGAGATGCCTGAAAACATAACCAATACTGATGACACTCATAAAGACAGTGATGTATACAATGAACTTCTTGAAGTCATTAGTCAGTTTGATAATTCGCCGCTTGGGGAAACTGGTCCTATTGGCAATGCAGAATCTGATAATTCCCAGACTGGACAATCTGGTCCCATTGGCAATGCTGTGTGTGATGAGTCCCCAGTTGTGCAACCTGGCTTCATTGACAATGCAGAGTGTGATAAGTCACCAATTGGGCAGCCCAGTCCCAGTACCTTCGCTGAACCTGAAGCTATAGGATACCTTCACAACATATCACCAATAAAAAAGGGAAAGTACTTTGAATTCCAACTGCAAGAAAAGACCAAAACAGTACGTGGAGTTTGTTTTTCACCACCCAAGCGGAAGCGGTTTACTGAACTTGGCGAGAAAGACTCTCCAGTCAAAATAAAGAAGTATCGTGTCGACTCTACTTCAAATTCAGAGGATTTGCTGATGGGATACGATGTCATGATTGATGCATATAACGATGTGGACTTTCAAAAGCAACAGCTACCATCCACTATGAATGTGTCCAATGCAAAGTTGGTATGTCCCGGTCAGATTATAACCATTACGGCTAAAGTTGCTCATGTGCATCCTTCAAAACGAGTGGGTGTAAAAAACTTACTTATGCAGAATGTAGTTATTGTTGACCCATCTGGGACAATCCTGTTAACCCTTTGGGAAAATTATGTGCATCAAGTGAAGCAAGGCAACACATACACCTTTACCAACATACGTGTACGAAAGGATAAAGTTACCAGTGAAATTGTTGTCAACACAGTTGAGTCTGATACTAAAATAGAATCTGGACCACCATTTCAAGAAGCACTGCCGATCATAGTCCTTGACAGTGAAACTGTTGATGTAGAAATCATTGGTATTGAGAAAGTTCAATCATATCTTGCCTGTAGGAAATGCACCAAAAAAATTCAACATACAGATAATCGAAGATTTATTGAATGTTCACACTGTCATTTCAAGCAAAAGGAAGCAGCAGCAGCCAAGCACTGGTTTGCTCAGGTCTTAGTCGAAAACAAGAGTTCAACTGAAACCAACAGATTTAGTGTCACCCTCTTTGAAAGTTCCATAAAGCAGATTGTTCAAGCCAATAGTGAAATTCCAGAAGACAACAAGTTCACCAAAGAATTGATTGAAGATCTTCTGTTTGACACATCTGTTATTTCGATCACTTACAATAAACGGACTCATATTGTTGAGAACGTTATTTCAGCACAGTCAGTGCTCTAGTGACATTCACTGTGTTTGTGACATGAACACTTGAAATTTTTGTTGTGGTTTAGTTTGAACAAAAACTCTTAAATAAGTCTTAAAAGATTGGGTTTAAACTTCATAGTTACATGAACATTGATATTTTTATGGTTTAGTTTGAACAAAAACTCTTGAATAACTCTAAAAGATTGGGTTTAAACTTCATAGTTAAACATCACATATGTATCAAGGGATGGTTGAAAATTCACATTTATTGAAATAAAAACTTACTGTTATGTTAGAAGAGTTTGAATTATTGTTCTATCCTTTTTCTAATTTGAAATTAGGTTGGTACATCCCCCAAACTCTGGTCCAGCCGCCCACCCCCACCTGGATATATTACCTTGGTTGAAGTCTGCTCGAACCGTAAAACTATGATCAACAATGTCATAGATATTAATTGGACCTGGGTTTTCCTCCACATCATTTGCAAGCCTCAATAGCAATGGTACATAAACATGATAAGACATCATCTGTGTACACCACATGCAAACTTCATTATTACTTTCAATCTTTGTAGCTAGATTTTTCAAGCATGGTAAATAAAATATTTCTAAGTAGAACATTACTAACATATGGTTCCAAAATTTACCCTTCATTTGATTTATGGACTGTCGTGCTTGCACAAAGTTGTTGTGCGAACCAATTCTTAGTCTGTATATCTCAATTGACACACCCATATTGCATTCTCACTGTTTGGAATAATATAGTTTCGTTACAGTAAGTAATGTACTGTAGTCTGTGTACTTTCAGTATTGTCTTTGACAGTTTGTATTTGTAATTCTTTTAAAATTGCACAATGGCAAAGTCTCAATAATCCCAGCACAATGTGGCAATGGGCTGCTTTTTTATACCTGCACAATGGCAAGGTTCAATTTGAGAGCGTGGCCTTTCATGCTAATAGCGCCCTGATAAATAATCAGTGCGACGAGCACAATGGCTCCGTTTCAGTTTGAGTATTTTGAGAGCGTGGCCTTTCACGCTATTAGTGCCTGATAAATAATCAGTGCGAGCACAACGTCAACGGCTCCGTTCAGTTTGAGTATTTTGAGAGCGTGGCCTTTCACGCTAATAGCCCTGATAAATAATCAGTGCGAGTACAATGGCTCCAAAATCACAACAAATAACAGAGTATAAAATAAATTAAAAGCAGCTCCAAAATCACCACAAATAACAGAGTATAAAATAAATTAAAAGCAGTGAGCCAAACTTTTAAACTTACCTCGATCTACTTTTCTTTGTTAAAGACGACTCTCGAAAGCGGATTTTCAGCGATAATCTTTCCTTGCGCTTGGTTTATTAAAACGTAGACGAAAACAATCACATTACACATTATTTTCAATAGTATTAATGAGAATTTTGTTTGATATTTTTAATATATTTCATGTTATTTTCAAAATGTACTGTAGTTTTGAAGTTTTGCCCACAATATAATCAATGCGAGCAAATAACTCCAGAGTATTTAACTTAAATTTAATATTTTGATAGCATGGCCTTTCGCGCTATATCATAAACGCCTGATGAATATAAATCAGTGCGAGCACAGCGGCTCGAAAATCACAACAAAATATAAACAATATAAAGTAAATTAAAACAGCAAAGCTTTACCTACCTCGATGAATTTTCTAAGGCGCTCGATTATGTAAATTTTCGGCGAACAATCAACATTTTCTTTGCATTTGCTCGACGAAAACCATGGAAGAAAACGTCCACACGATTCAAAATTTATAATTATGCTTATTGTTATTATGCTCGTCCCACGTGATCTGCCGCAAGTTTCACCACCAACGGACACGAATTTTAAGCTATATGATAGTTGCATGCCATATATGGCATGCAACAAAAATGGCTCGCGCACAAAATTTAAAAGCTGCAATCATATTTTGAATTAACAGATGGAAAATTTGTCGGGATTTTAATTACTGTACAAAATTTCAGACAATTTGGTTTAGTTTAAGCCCCTTAACTATTCACGCAAAGTTACAATTTTCCCGAAAAATCAGCTATTTGCATGCTTAATTAATGCATTTGCCTAATTTGCATATGTCAGCAATATGCAAATTAGGTAAAGGCATTAATTAAGCATGCGAAAGGCTGACTTTTTAGAACAAAATGAATAGTTAAAGGGCTTAAACTAAACCAAATTGTCTGAAATTTTGTACAGTAATTAAAAACCCGACACATTTTCAATCTATTAACTCAAAATATGATTACAGCTTTTAAATTTTGTGTGCGAGCCATTTTTAGTTTGTTGGAAAAGACACCCCCCCCCCTGGTTCACAAAATTTGAGTTCGAGAAATTTTTTTCATTATTTTACATTATAAGTACCGAAAGAAGCTATATATATAAAAAAAACTAGATACAAATAGGCGTTTTGCGAAATTGAGAGCAATTTAAAATCAGTTCAGTTTTTTTTATACACCCTGTAGATAAAAGATATTTAATGCAGACTAAAATCCGAATTTCTTATAAATTACGAACATAAATTATGTATATACAGTAAATGTGAATAACACAGTGTAAGTAAATCAAATAACAAATAAATTACTGTTTTAGTACCTCTCTCCTCCTTTCAAATTTAGAAACTTCATGGGAACACCATGCTTACAGCTAATTCCGCACACAGCAGTCTCATCAAGAGCATCATACCTTCCTTTAGATCTGATTTCAGATCCTGCTTGAAAATCACTGCAATCCTTAAAACATTTACAGGTAACGATTGATTACCAAGTACGGTGCGTGTAAGCTAATATACTGTAATAGGCCTTTACGGTAATTACTTCACAGCTAAATTGTTTTCAACTTAGGACCACCTTAATGAAATGAAATGGATTTCAAGTTTTTTTTCTCACTGGCTATGTGCAAAGAAGCAAAGCATCCTTCTTCAACACATGATTTTTTTATTCTGACCAATAAATACGTGAGACTAAGCTTTAAAACGAAAACGAGGCTGAGGGACCATGGCCCCTTTGGGCCCTTCAGCCTCGTTTTCGTGTTAAAGCTTATTCCCGCATTTTTAAGCATGATTCAAGGTGGTCCTAAGTTAAAGACAATTTGGTTGTGACGTAATTACCGGAAAGGTCTATTCACATATTTTTTAAATTCAAAAGAGTCAAAACGATGGAAGAGTCGTTCTGGGCTCAAATTGACGACTCCAATTCCGTCATTTTGACTCTTTTGAATTAACAATATATTTTAAATTTGAGCTATATACTGTAAGTTACATATTTTTTACAATTTGAGCTATTTTAGTAATCAGAGAGAGCGCCTTCTATTAATTATTCATATATGGACATGTTATTTGCTGCACTGCCTGCAAACCTGTGGTAAATCATCTTAGATCGTGTCGATTCTTTGGTAGATTTGGGGTAGTTAGACATAAATTGATCCACATCTTGCTGCTCGTATAAATACATTCTAGCACTTAAAGGATCTCAATAGCTCACTCCAGATGCTTTTTTCCGAGGTAATCCAAAGCAAGCATCCAAAGAAAGAAAACATTTCCCATCAGTCTAAAGATGACAAATTAAATATTCTATTGTCAATAATATACAGATAAAAAATTAAAGTGTATGTGAATACAGTACACTAGACTGTTTGGTCTTACACATCCTTACTGTCCTACTGAGTATCTACAGACACAAATTCTTCAACCAAACAATTTCATACCTTAGGGCAAGCAGGGCATTCTATCGCATCAGAGACGACATCATTTGCCTCAATGATGTACGCGTTTCTTGACCTTACATGGTATCTAATTTGCAATACAGTAAATTGTGTTTCAATATATATTATATAGAGAAGTGAGAACTGCCCAAAAGGCAAAGTTCCACCGGACGGACATTAATTTTTATCATACAGAAATTTATAACAGTTTTATAATATAGATATCTATAAATTAACAACAACAGGCATTATACAGGGTGTATAAAAAAACTGAACAGATTTGAAATTGCTCTGCAACCTATTTTTATCCGTTTTTTTATATATATATATATAGCTTCTTTGGGTACTTATAATGTAGAATGAAAAAAATTCTCAAACTCAAATTTTGTGAACCAGGGGGTGTCTTTTCCAACAAACTAAAAATGGCTCGCGCACAAAATTTAAAAGTTGTAATCATATGTTGAGTTAATAGATGGAAACTTTGTTGGGTTTTTAATTACTGTACAAAATTTCAGACAATTTGGTTTAGTTTAAGCCCCTTTAACTATTCATTTTATTCTAAAAAATCAGCCTTTCGCATGTTTAATTAATGCCTTTACCTAATTTGCATATTGTTAACATATGCAAATTAGGCAAAGGAATTAAGCATGCAAATAGCTGATTTTTAGGAAAACTGTATCTTTGCGTGAATAGTTAAAGGGCTTAAACTAAACCAAATTGTCTGAAATTTTGTACAGTAATTAAAAACCCGACAAAGTTTCCATCTATTGACTCAAAATGTGATTACAACTTTTAAATTTTGTGCGCGAGCCATTTTTAATTTGTTGGAAAAGACACCACCCCTGGTTCACAAAATTTGAGTTCAAGAAATTTTTTTAATTATTCTACTTTACAAGTACCCAAAGAAGCTATATATATATAAAACCGGATACAAATAGGTGTTTTGCAAAATTGAGAGCAATTTCAAATCTGTTCAGTTTTTTTTTATACACCCTGTATAATAACGACAGTGAAACACGCAATTTGATTGGTGAATAGCCGTGCAAGATCAGGCTATCCTGCACGAAGAATTGAAATGCCCTCGCGGGATTCTCAAAATGACATTGTTTCACTGTAGTTATTTTATAAAAGAATTACCAAATGGTTTTCCAAGCAGGATAGCGTGATGCATGCACTTGGGATGTTGCTCGACTTTCGGAAAGCGTAAAAATACACTCGACTGCGACTCGAGTATTTTTACGCTTTCCGAAAGTCTTGCGACATCCCTCGGCTATGGATCACGTAATCCTGCACGGAAAACCATTCGGTATTCCTTTATTCATGCATCGACAACAGCGTGTAGAGTCATCACTGTACATAATAACCTACGTTGTATAGAAATGTCTAATTGTGAAGCCTACCCAGTACACGCGAAGTAGTGTCAATTTATTAATGGCACATATGCTTTTTGTGTTTTAAATCATGGGAGTCCAATTTCGTATTTTGGGAAAGACATTTGGACTGGTCATTAATTAGAGGGAAGAGGGGTCCGGGTGTAAAATGAGGCCGGGTCCAATTCCTATGCAAAAGAAAAGAGGGGGGGGTGGGGTGTATATTTTTATGCAAGCTTTTTATGATGTCATACAAAAATAGGTGGTGGGGTGATTTTCCCCCCCCAAAAAGATTGGAGTGGCCGGGTGAAGGTATCAGATTCTTTGCTACCTGAAGTACGATGACATTTTCTGCATGCATAGCTCATTATATGTCTGATCCCTGGTATCTGTATTCTTCAAAGCTGTCAATAAATTGATCATAGATCTTCTTTGACTACAAATTAGAAATACAAACAGTACAATTAATAATTTAGTGGTTTTTACACTACCTACTACAGTGGTTTTCAAAATGAATATAAATCCAATAGCAAAATTCAAAATGAAACAAATTAAAATCACTTGAAATTGATTTTATATAACAATAAACCGAGTTCCCAACCTATACATTTTGAACATATCCAAGGACATATTTTTGTATTGTAGATCTTCTTCCCTCACCTTTAGAAGTGGATTTTTGAAAAAGTCCAAAGCTTTCAGCATGTCATGGATGGAGACTTGACATTCCATCATCAGCCGCAAAGTCATTTCCATTAAATCTAATGTAAATGCCACACTAGGCTCAACTGGAGTTGCAGGCCAAACACCACATTGGAGCAAACTTTCTGGTACTGTATAACAATTGCAATACTCAAAGACGATTTCATGATAAAAACCTACAAGTAAAGACCAATTATTATATGAAATTTGAAAGCAAAGGTACCGATATACTGTAGCATGTCTTTGTGAGGACTTAAAACAATAAATCTAGCTAAACTCAGTGAACTGCTTTGAACTACAGTACAGACTGGTGCCAAAAATTATGTATAGTCTACAAATTATGTTACACTAAGGTAGATACTCGCAGAAATTACACTAAGGTACAGAAAATGCTTGCAGAAAAAATATGTAGGATTTCAGTACGTGTAGTGACCAGGAAAATTCTCTCCCTGCCAAGGGTACAAAATTACTACAAATACTGTATAAAAACCTGACATACCCTGTACCAGTAGTTAGTATTTCTCAAATAGTGCATGTATCATGTACAGCTAGTACCTACAGAATGACTGCATGATCATACAGTATACAGAATGTACGTATATGCTAAGCATAGAAAACCAACATTTCAGAGAAAATATTTACCCCCTAGTATTCATCAAAAAGAGTGTATAAAATGCGTATGTTGTGACATGTACAGTATAGAAACATATTATGATAACAATTAGGTTATATGAGTGTGATTTGTGTTATTTGGTACAAGACTTTTACAGTCTTTCAAAATTATTGGGGGGGGGGCTCACTGGTCACATCACTTAGGCTTTGAATAGCCTACAATGTGTGACTGACAAAAAATTTTGTTCCATTAATTTTGTATAATCATGAAGGAATACTGTACCACTTAAATTAACAATTGTAATTGGTTGCAGATACGTTCCACCACAATTGTGCCTCGTATTACACAGAATTCTTTCAGGAACATTGTAGTCTTCCCAGCATCCTTCCTTAAAATTTAAACAAAACATAGATTGAATATCTTGCATTATGTGAAACTAAAATTTAATTGCATGCAGAAATAATACATGAAATTAATATATCACTTCAAGTATGCAAACCAACCGATAAACCCATTGAATTATCCCTGTAAACTGTCATCCATGCCTCCGATACACAGAGGAAATTGGAAGTTAAACATCCTACACTCTTCAGATGTACCAATACACTTCCCTTACAAGGTAGGTAGTTAGGTAGGCCTGGCCAATAGGCCAATCTATAGCATGGGTTCCTATAGGGAACCTTTAGGTTTTTATGGGCAATTGGAACAATTTTTGGGCAATTGGAACTGATCAATTATGGTGATCTATAAGGATGCCTAAAGTCTATTGAGCCCTATAGATGCCAATAAGCTTCTATAGAGAATTGGAACTGGTAGCTAGGCCACCTACAGTACACGAAACAAATATTTCTTCCCTTCTCACCCAGACAACAGAAATTTCCCTTGTGGGGGGGGGGGATGTGAATGTGTTCTAGAGGTCAGAACAACCATTAAAATAATGCACAAGTTTCTCCCACTTACAAGCAAAACTACATTTATGTTGGAGAGGTTAAAACAAGAAAAGAGGGTGCATTGTGGTACATTGCTACTTATAGACCAATTTTAATGCAGTAATTGAGAAGCATACTGTATTATTATGAGTAAAGGCCCATGCAAAATTTCTTCTTCTGCCATGCATGTGAATGAGTAGATGAATTGTGAATGTATCGAGTATATTTATAACATCATCAGTCCTCATCTGAACATTCATATAACTCATCCACTTGTTTACATTCATCAGAAAAATTGCATGTAGAATCACAGCAAAAATTACAAGAGGTATAAACAGGCCATTAGAAAGTAAAATAATTGCAGGGATGGATTTAGTTAGGGTGTGTGCCCCCTAGGCATGACATACCCCTAAAAGGGCTGCAGGGGGGGGTGTGCTATTTGCATAGGTAGTAGCATGGTTTGGAGTGCAATTTGGAAAAAACATGCACAAGTGAGTTTTTTAAAAACTGTCAAAATTGCACGAGTCCGAAGGACGAGACGTGCAATTTGATGGCTTTAAAAAACTCACAAGTGTATGTTTTTCCAAATTGCATGACAAACCATGCTATTACCAGTGCTTCCATTTTGGAGGAAATTTCCTTTTTGAAGGAAATTTGAACTAGTTGAAGGAAATTATTAGGAAATTCGAATCTGAAGGAAATTTGAAGGAAATTTTGGAAAATTGAAGGAAATGTGAAGGAAATTGCCTTATTTCTAAAAAATCCTATAAAGAATATGGCAATTTGCAAGGAAATGCGCTTCAAAATATGCTGAAAATCCTGTCTGCGAGATGCAAAATGTGAACATTTTCTGCGGGAGGATCCCCAGACAGACCCCCTGCTTATTCTCCTTCGTGTTAATCTAGGTAAACTCTTTGTCTCTCTCCTTTGATAATTCAGCTCGTGCAACGTCTATGTGCCTTCTAGAACAAGAAATACCCGGTTATTCGAGATAAATTACTATAAAATCAGTTTTAAATTAGGTAAAATTCAATAATTTTTATTGCAAGGAAATTTTTTCAAAAATAAGGAAATTTTGAACGGCTGGAAGGAAATTATATTTTTTGAAAATGGAAGCACTGGCTATTACTAATTAGTAATATAGATGAAAACATTTCCCCTCGATGACTCCTGCATTAGTTACCTTCACTACTTAAGCATTGTCTTTGTCGCTTGTGAACAAACTTTTTCAGTCTACATGCTTGTTGCATTCTGAATTATATATTTCCCAACAATTTTCAAAACAAAATGTGCAAAAAGTGGGCAAAAATGAAAATTTAAAATATCAATATTTTCCTGCCATGTTGATTTTTTCCGAACAGTGCAATTACAAATACTGTAATTGCACTCCTCTTTACGGTGGCCGTTTTCGTTTGATGCAAAAATATTTTCGTGTGATGCAAAAATATTTTCGTGTGATGCAAAAATATTTTCGTGTGATGCAAAAATATTTGTCGCACATTAGTACCCAGGCTCCAAACTTCGCAGACGATGCTTCCGCACGTGTTTTCTTTCAAAATGGCTACTCGTTGTGAGAGAAAATGCAAAACTTGCAACTCTCCTATCGAACTGGGATATTTATTTTGTCCTATTTGTGGAAATTCTGTAGTTAGCGTTAACAATGTCACTTCTAGCGGTTCGTCAGGAGAAACGAGTCAATCAAAAAGCAAAGGATTTTCTTTAGAAAGTTTCGAGAAGTTCAAGAGGCAGAAAGAAAGTCAACGCAGCTCTTTCTTTGTTCGAAAAAAAGGGCGCAAAAGCTCGTCAAAAGAGGAGAAAGAAGTTGTTATCTACATTGGTCTGATGAAAGAAATGTGTCAAGTCAAACGAGGGGAATGGCTGCCTCTTAAAATCAAGTCAAGTGCTACAGCTGATGACATCCTGGAAGCTGCAATTCAGAAACATTCAACATTTAATAAACGATTTAATTCCAAACTGAAGTACAAGTTGGTATTCAAGGATGGCAGTGAGGTGTCTAACATCCCCGGCGGTGACCACGAAGAAAGTTTCATATTGTTTAAGTACAAAGAGTTATCTGGTTTTTCATATGGAAAAATTAAGTTATTCCTCATTCCTGAAATTACCAGTTTTCAAAATCGCATTGATCAACTGAAAAGCTGTCTTGAAGAGGCTGAAGATGATGAATTGTCGTCTGAATCAGAGGAACAGGCACTATTTCAAAACCCACTGTCTTGTGAAACCAATTCTGTGAATTCTTCCAATAATGACCATTGCATTACAAACCAATCCACAGAGACACAGACAATAGAGATTCCAGATGAAGAGGCTATGGCCCAATCAGTGTTGGGGAATCCTCCAGAGAAGGATGGGGCTGCTATTAATATCAATGTCGAGTGTCCTTTGTGTCTTAAAAAATTTCCTATTGCAACTGTGGAACAGCATGCTGACCAATGTGCTTCATTGTTTCAAATAATACCGGATGGTGATGTTCATGACGATAATGAGGATGTTCAACCTTCAACTGCACCCGCATCTGATGGTACATTGAGGGATATGATCCAGAAGCTTGCCCAGGTACAGTTTGACCCCAAAGAAGAACCTATACGGATAACTGTACGTCGTTCGAGGTTATGGGAAGATTTTAAAAGAGCGAGATCAAGATATTATTGCCCCCAAAAGAAGCTTAAGGTAACCTTTTCAGGTGAGCCGGCAATAGATGATGGTGGACCGAAGAGGGAATTTTTTTCAGGTAAAACACTATAAAAATATACAATGGGTGTTAAATTATAGGTTCAAGTGTTAAATAGCAGATATGCAGAGGCGTAACTAGAATTAATTGGGGGGGGGGGGTATATTCATATATTTGTGTTCTGCCCAACAAATTTATTTTGAATTTCTTTGTTTTTAAGCTCATTTCAAAAGAAATTAGTAGGGAAGACCCCCCCAATTAACTCTCTAGTTTCGCCACTGCAATATATACAATTATTAGGCCTAAAACAAAATGCCTGTGGTTCCAGTTTTATATTGTGAGAAAATTAGGGTTGGTAGGTTGAATTTTCAGCAGAGTCCCAACGTCAATAGAGATGCATATTTCATGGACGAATTTAGGCAATTGGTTCAATAATTAGTGTGACAACAGACACCATTTTGGCACGCTGTATATTATGTGAATGTAAAAGTAGGGGGGGGGGGGGCACACTTAGCATCCACCAAAAGCAGGTGATATTCTATGGGGTCCTGATGCATGCCCCCAGGACAATTTTAAAATTAGAGTTTCTGAAATGCCATTTCCTGCACTTTATAAGGAGATTTACAGAGTTTTAAAGACATTTAGCCCCCTCCCCCACTAGACTACTGGAGGCACCCCCCCCCCTTTCCGACGTGCCGGTAATTTAAAACAGACTTTATTTTAGTCACATGACTGCACAGGTATATGTGGATAAAAGCCTGTTTTAAATTACCAATATTAATACAAACTTCTGATCTTCTGTGGTTGATAAAAGTGATTTTGTTTTTCTGGTTATCATTATCAGAATTGATGAATCACATGGAAAGAAGATACTTTATATCAGGAAGTCCAGTATCTTCAACAATGATGCTGATGCAGAGTGATTACAAAGTCTGTGGGGAACTAATTGCAATGTCGATAATGCAGGGTGGGCAAGCCCCCTGCCTGTTTTCTCAATCCGTGTTTGAATATTTGATTAGAGATCTGAAGATTGCAAATATTCATTCAAGTTTTTACAAGAGTGTTTGTGAACAGGTAATTTGCTGCATTCACCAGTCCTACTTTATTCGGCATAGTTAAGCATTTATGAGAAAAATATCTAAAATGCAATAAAACATTGTTACAGTACATATTTGAAAGTGTCTATATATTATAAACAGTTGTCAATTGTACAAATGAAAATTTCATCCAAACTCTTTGCTTTGAAATGTGCCCCAATGCACTCTACTTCAGCATTACAGTAATTATACTTTGTCTAATAAAAGATGATTTTACTCTTCAAGTTGAAGAGTATAATTATCTGGCATTAGGGGGTATACTGATAAAGAATAGTAGCTGGGTGCACAGGGGAACACTGCAAGTCAAATAGTTAATTATTGGGGCCATTTTTAGTTATACTATTATGAAATCTGGTAAGTGAAAATGTGAAATGTCTTCCACATTACCATAGATATCTTATATAAACTAGATAGCACATCTCTTTTAGTAAAATTGAAGCCAAGAATATTCCAGCGGTTACTCACATTTGAATAGATGGCGGCCATGTTGGTCGTTCCCACTTGCTAATAAACGCTTAAAAACAACAATAACTTTCATCATTCGAATAGTTTAAAAATGTATTTGGAATAGGGTTAACTTAATGTTTAAGTTCCCTGTTTAAGAAATAGAAAACATACGAATCTTCTCATTTCATGGGAACGACCTGAGACTGCAATCACGGCTTCAATTTTTGAATTGCAGAATAATTAGATGCACTATCTAGTGTATATAATATATCTATGCACATTACTGATTAAAGTGGTTAATACATCAGATGTGCCTTTTTGAGAGTATTACCTGTCCTTGTCCACTATAACTTTAGTTAGTAATTCTACACCATGCACACACCTGTATTGCATTGCTTCATACTCTGGCACCTACTTCTTGACTTCCAATCTACATTGGTAATAGTATATTGGGAAAATTACTTACTAACTGTTTTAATTAACCCATTAATTAAAGCAAAAATTTTCCCATATATATAATAAAGTAGGGCCGTACTACCGTACAATGATTGTATAATTTTTTTCTTTTCTCAGCTTTCTGAAGATTCCCCTAACTATGCAGCAATACTTCTAAATGAAGAAGTGTTTCCATTGCTTGAAGAAATAGGCTATCAAGGAGTTCCTGGGAGGGAAACAAAATCATCTATAAATAACCTAATTCAGTAAGTTTAATAATTATTACAGCAGATTTTTAATATCTTGTAATGGTTTGTGTTCGTATATACAAGATTATCCCAATACAAGATTATTGCAAGCAGGGGCGTTGCTAGACCACGCTAGCAAAAACCTCAATTACTTCGTCAACATTTCCGTTCCCACAATGCCCTATTCCAAAAATTAGTCCAGTATTTTCGTTTTGGCATCCCTTTATTCGTCCCATTATGTGTTGGTCGCGGTCAGGTTTCTCCCTTTCCACAGAGACAACCACCACTTTTACCGACCTTTTTTACATTTTACAGACCACTAAATTATTTCAAAAGCAAAAACTGGCCCAATCCGACTAGGGCCAATATTGCTTACTATGTGTTGAATACATCACCTTTCTGATTAAGGGGAGGTGTGACACAACCACTCTAGCAATGCCCCTGTGTTCAAGCATTGAAACACTGCCTAATATATTACACTGGACCAAAACTTTAATAATTAGTTGTGCCATTGTTAATATTGACCACTATTCATTTGTTCAGTTTCTTACAGTAATCTCAAAATTTTATTAGATCTGTCTGCCTTAAAGACCAGCTTGGTGATGTTCTGCTCCAACTGACTCAACTGGAAGAAGGGTTAAATGTGTATGGCTTAACAAAAGAAATCAGACGTTCTCCTGAAATGTGGGAAAATTTGCTTGTAATTGGCAAAGGCATAAAGGTTACTGCATCGAATTTGATTGAAGAATTCCAACCAATATTCAGTGAAAGCCAAATCCAGAAACAAAAGGAGATGGACACCTACACTTATTTCTGTGATTTTGTTCACACATTAGACATGCAAGGTTTGTTCACTGCATGTTCATGTCTCATTACAATTTCGTACATCCTTATGGTGCAATCCTTATTTCTTACCACTAACCCAAAATTTAGTTGCCCATACACCAACGTATAAAACAAGAGGATATTTGTAACATTCCAATTATTACTCACATCCATCTTATGCCCTGATTGTTTATAAAAATTGAGGGGAAATGTGTTGCAGATCTGATGCAGTGGCTGACAGGAGGATACCTGTTCTTGGTCTTGGAAAAAAAATAAAGCGCCTATTTTTGCATGTTTGCCAACCTGGGTGTCGGTGTCGTCCAGTAGTCTCAACATGTGACTTGAGAGTCACGCTACCAGTGCATCTAAACAGTGAAGAAGAAATGGTTGAAATAATGACGTCAGCTTTAAAAGACTCGACAGGATTTGACTTGGTTTAAAGCAATCGACAAATTAAAATAGAAACAAGTTGGAATAATGATGACACAAGAGTACTTGAGTAAATTTGTGATAGTTGAGATTGACAGCGATTTCATATTTGTTTTCCTTTTTTATTCATGTTTGTTGACATTGAACAGACAATGTAATGATGAACAAATTCAATACTTTATGTTAACTTTGTACAATTGCATACAGTGTTTTGAACTGTAAATACTGTATGTGTTAAATATGCCTTCTCAAGGTATTGTTATTTATGTTGTTTTGGGTGAGTGGAACTCACTCTTTAGAGAGTTGGTAGGCTGCCAGAACTCCACCAACTTCAGGCTGGCAAGAACTTATACCAAATAAAAATTATTTATATTCTAACACTGCTGCCGCTTTGACACTCAACAATTGCAAAATAATATATAGTTTTAATCCTGAGTAACATATATATGTTTGAAGCATGACACCCCTGACAAGTTTAATCCTTAGACAGGGTAAACATATAAATACTGGAATTTAAATTTTTCACCTTTATAGTTGTTCAATTATGTGGCACCCAGTTTGCATAAATTTCATGCATCAGATAGTGTCACTTGAAATGAACAATTTGTGATGAAATATCAAGACTGAAAATTGTCATAATAGAATGGACTTCAAATAATGTCATCCAACAGTGTACAGTTAATTTTATCCTCTTGCAATTTCAATTAACCTTTGATACAACAATAAGCCTTCCCTCCAAGTCATAGGTTTCTGAAGATGTAAGCCTTCACACAAATAATTAAAGTATTCTTGGTACAAGTTTTCCTCTTCTTCATATTGCAGTAAATTGTCTGCAACAAATTGGATCTGAGAGAGAGATATCTGACTAAGGAGACCATCTTCACCTCCATGCAACTCTGGTATATAGAAAAGCTCATCGGGTCTACCACTTACAGTATTGTGATGGGACTTCCTAATGTAGTGGGTATTCCAATGTTCTTTAGTTATATCAAGATCTTTCTGGATAAGTGTGGAAAAACAGTACCATAAACACTCCATTTCCATTTCATTACCCAATGTAAGAACCTGTGTCTCTACCAAGTCCTTAAATAGGTTGATCCACCATGTTGAGCGATTTTTGCGAAAGAAGGACCACCACCCTTCGATGCATTGATTTGCAACAGACTGTCCAAAACTATGTGCGTTTTCATCATTCCGGAATTCACAGTGCATTGCTGCGATTATACCATTTTCTGTGCCGCAGTCTGATCGTACTTTAACTGGGCATCCTTCATGTTCAGCAACACACTCAAGATAAAAGGTTGCAGGAATTTCAGGTAGGTTGTTCGACCTGGCAACTCTCAGCCACATGATTTTCCTACTCCAGCCATCGATGGCACCATGAATAGGAAAACCATATGGCTTAAGTTTGTCATAACCATCCACATGCCAGGCATGGTTTGGTCCAGAGTTATAATACTGACGCCTTTTCAAGCATTTTCGCTTGCGCATCTCGCATCCTTCCGGATCTAGTTCCTTCAGTTTCTCTTCCACGACATGCCTGGGTACTTGAATGCCTTCTTTTTGTAAAGTATGCCAAACTGTACGGTAACCGGCAATACATCCAGGCCCATCCAGCAGTTGAACAATTCTATGATGGACGATTTCATCATCATATTCTACACCACGTCTTTTCAAGTTGTATTCTTTTAACCGTAACTTCAATGTACTGTACGAGATCGACAAATCGTGTCTTTTTTCCAGTATTTTAACAATACTTCGATAGGTGAATCCACAAGAAAAGTAATAACTTATAAGACCTCGTTCATCTAAACTTTCAAGAGCATCTAATTCATTGAAGGGATCGCCACAGTTAGGGCAGAATCGATGGGAGACTTTTAAAACAAATTCGCAAGACTTACAACTCTTGTTCATGTCCGCCATATTTTAATGTCAATAATAAACGGTTTGGAGCCTGGGTACTAATGTGCGACAAATATTTTTGCATCACACGAAAATATTTTTGCATCACACGAAAATATTTTTGTCGCGCATAATTTTTTTGCGACGTGAAACATATATTTTCGACGTGCATAATTTTTTCATCGTGCGTTAAATATTTTTGTATCGTTCATAAACATTTTTGCATGGTGCAAATATTTTTGCAACATGCATAAATGTTTCTTTCAACACGTAAAAATATATTTCTCGTGCACAAATAATATATATTTCTGCACTAAAATAAATATTTTTAACCAAAAAATATTTTTACAGCTCAAAATAAATACATTTTTGCTAAATATTTTTTCCCTGTCATATATTATATTCATTTAGCAGTTGACTAAAATATTTGTCGTTAGCCTAGTGGGCCACCGTACCTCTTAGCCAATAAACATCAAGAAATTTTTTCATCTATATTATTATTCATGATAAAGCAAAAAAATGTTAGAGATAAAATGATATAATAATTTGACAAGCAAACTGTGTAGTCAAGCACAACTATGCAGTAGTTAAGCAAGTTGATGGGTGGGCAGCACACATAACTGACACAACTCGGCACCAGATCATGCTGTATCCATCTCTGATATAATTGTAGCACATATTGTGACATTCACACTTTGGTCATACTGTAGCTGGTAAAGTAGCAATGCCCTTTTACTACAGAATGAATGCTTTAACTAATTAACTTTAAGTGCCAGTCTCTCCCCTTGATGAGTAAAATTATCTGGTGTTAGACAGAGTGAAATATTAAATAGGGCATATCAGGGCACATTGCGACTCAATGGGTTAACTAGACACATGGATAGATGGATAGATAGGCCAGTTAACCCATTAAGTGCCAGCTGTCTCCTATTGATGAGTAAAATTGTCTGGCGTGAGCCAGAGTGAAGTAATAAAGTAGGGCACATTAGGGCACAATGCGACTCATTGGGTTAAATACCAATGCAAAGTGCATGTTTCATTATTTTCTTGTTTCTAACACCAGACAATTCTCACTAACCAAGGGGAGATTTTTGCATTTGCGTACCATAACATACCAAACTACCATCAATTTAGAGTTAGTACCAAATTCAATGTACAGTTAGTAATATAGCTGCAGATCTGAATTGTAAACACATTTATTAACTGCTTGTCATGCTGGAAGATGCTATTTTCCTAATTCATAGGGAGACTAAATTACCCATCAATGGGTTAATAACAAATTACATGGGCATACATATGTTTGGTACTATCCTATGACAGTTTAATATTATACAACACAGTACTGTATGTGTATCAAATAATGTGTTTAATTGTCCTTATCGTGTATTTAATAGGCCTTAATTTATATTCATATTGCACTTACTTTAAGTATTTGGCAGCCATGAAACTGCAGTTTGTCCCTATGAATTTTATCGCAGCGTTTTCTGCAATAATATGTTGCAAATCCTCAATCTCGGCAACATGTTTCTGCTGATTCTTGGCATGTTGCCTCACTGCACGTTGATGGCAGAAGACCCTCGAGTGCCAGTCTTTCCCGGCGTTTCTTGTATGTTCGCTGTACTCCTTTATCCTCCAAATCATTATCGTATTCGGAGCCAGAGGAATCCTCAAAAATTAAATTTTGATCGCCGATGTTCGCTTCGCAAATTCCTTCTGTATTTATATCATAAAGCTCTGTTATTCCGCTTTTTGTGCCTTCTGACTGGACATTTTGCAAGGAATTGGGGACAAAAGGTTAACATATGTCTTTGTTTTAGTCCTTGCATCGATAATCTCTATGCTAGCATTAGCTTTCCTTTTGCCACCTTTAAAAAACATATTCCTTTTTGATACGACTGACACAAGTGTATTTGCCCGCCATATTTTTTTTACTGTCTATTTATTTGACACCCCAGCCACCCCTCCACAAACATTTTAGTTTGTAATAAACAATTCCCAGTAACTTACTGGAAACAATGTGCATATAATATCTATTAGTTTATTAGGTACAACGTGTGGATCGGGTGCACTTGTTGATCATAGAGGGTAAAATTTATTCGTATTAAGTTAATTGTGAACTTGTCAAGTTCTTGAACCTTGTATGTCTTCCAAGTCTTTGCGGATGTTCTTAATGTTGCCCATTTCTTAAATACTCCAACCCATAAATTTTTACTTTTCCCAGTGTTCGAGTTTTCACTAGAAGTTTTTAATTCTTCAATAAGGAGTTTAAGTTTTGCAGTCAAATGGCAAACACCAGGAGAAGAAAAATTTTACGCTGCAAGATAATAAATAGGAAATCAACTTGCTATTTTAAGACTGTAATGCATGATGATTTTTTTAAGATAAGAATGATACTATATGAAGCGAAGAGTTTAAGCAAAAAATATGCCAACAAAATTCAATATATGCCGTTTGCTGTTCCCACAAACGTGAAGCTTGATAGAGAGTTTAAGCTTCGTGTTATACGTCAAACGGAGAACGCCAGGCAGCAAAGGAAAATTTTACAGTATTAGGCAATAAAGAGTAAGTGAACTTGCTCTTTGTAAACTGAAATACATAATTATTCTTTCAATGCAAGAAAGAAAATATGAAACAAAAATGTTCAACAAAAATTCTGCCAAGAAAGTTCCTACCTTCCATTTGCCGTTCCCAGAAACGTGAAGCTTAAATGCCCTATATAATATAATTATCTGCAACGATTATGAGCCCCCCCCCCCCCCGGGCAATTATCGAACTTGCTACGGCACTGTATTATGTTCCTTAGCTTCAGTATCATTGTTAAGTAGATGTTTAAATGTTTGTATCTGAGATTATAGACATAGATGCCGTGTTATTATCATTGATACCTGGACGTTTTGCCGAATGGACGTTTTGGCGAACAGTCAGTTTGCCGAAAGGACAACTTGCCGAAAGTAGATATTTTTTTGTCAAAATGTTTGGGACTGTGCCTCATTTCTCAACTTTGTAATTCTCAATCATTGTGTAAAATAACCATTAGTTATTAGATAATTACTGAGGCCAACGGCATTATTGGATATATTGCAGCCAGCTGAGGCCAAAGGCCGAAGTTGCCGAGGCCAAAGTTAATGCCAGGTGGCCTCAGTAATTATCTATTATAATTACTGACCCGAATCAAACGTAATTATTTTCGGCTGGAAGGACTATGTTGCTGCTTGTTGGGAACGTATGACAATGAACCTATCCAACATTACACTAGACATTTGTGAGTACATGCATATAGACATTACCATAGGCACTGTAATGCATCGTGATAGAACAGATTTCAGTTTAATTAAGTCCAAGTCAGCAGCACAGTTACCGGTATCCATAAGTAGAAGGTAGCTGTTGAAGAACAACTTTCGGAAAGCTCGGGTGAATTGCAGGGGAGTAGGGTTTTCACTGTTACCTCCTTGTTGGTGAATTGCACTGAAGAAATTTTCCAAGGGATCTTGGTTTAACCGACTTGTACATAAGAATTTTACTTTGTTTTGAATTGACTTCCAAAGAAGCATTGTTGACGCAAGTGTGATTCCCAGGGCATTCAATCACTTTAGTGTGGTGGTGACATCTTTTCTAGTGGTTGGATCAATGACTTTGATTTCTTCAACAAAGCTTTTCATCCTGACCATCATGTCTTCATGTGGGGAGTCAGTGGTTATTGGCTGATTAGCTATCTTTGGAGAATTGAACGTGGAGCTGTTGAGGCAGTCGAAGGTTTCGTCAAATAGGGAGAGTAGCTCTGAAGTGCCAGTAGATGATGCAGGAAGAAGGCCACCACTAACTGCCATCAGTATTGTGGCTGACACTGTGCGACTTAATACTTGTGTTGCTAGCTTCACCTTCATTTTTGTGAACCTTTTGGGATGTAAGTGTTGTGTGATCAGCTTGGGACAGCACCTGATGGAATTTTTGCTGTCCATCTCATATAATGCAACAATGTCTTTCCAACTTGCCACTTTACCATTAAAGTGAAAGTCGTACTTTAGCAAGTTGTTCCGCACTGCCTTGATATGAGGAGCATCAAAAATGTAAAAAATTTTCTTCCCATTGTGAAGAAACCCAGGACTTTCTGCTGTAATGCCCATTTCCCTGACAAATTTCAGGAAGTTGGATCTAATATCAGACACTACAGCTACAACCTAAACAGATTGATGGATTGTATAAGATTTGGTAATATCAAATTATACAATATAATGCAATGAATTTATTCCAGGTTAAATTGTAACAATCCCATAATTAACAATCAAACCCAATAACTGCATTATCAACATTGACTGCACGGTTTCACTCTGACAGGACAGGAAGAAAATATTTACTAATGGTGATATATGTATACTATATATGTCACCTGTAAGCCAATGTTTTCCACTTTGGATTAGGCATCCTCAAGCTTCTCTGCTGCACGACTTGGGCATTCTAGAAATCCATTTCAAAATGCTTGACTTTGAAGGTAAATGGAAGAGCTTTGAGACCATTTTATATGCTTTTCCACTCAGATGATATGTTAGTTCAAATGCTTTGGTTTCATTGATGTACCTCTGCCCTTTTGCCTTCTTGGAATGAAGATCAATCTGTGATTCGACAAATTTTGCAATTTTGGAAGGTAACACTGTCTCTAATATTTTGATTGCTTGCTTGACTGAGGTTTTGTTTTGATTTTCCATGTTCAATTTGTAGTTCAGACTGCAACGTGAATGGCTTTCGTTTGGCTCTAAAGTGTACAGTAAGTTTGAAAATAAGTGTGAAAAATGAAAATATGTATTAGTTTCATATTAATCTGACACTGCAATCGAGCAACGAAAAATTCGTTGGCTCGAGCGGGATTTGAACTCGCATCTTCGGGTATCTAGACCGCCGCTCTACCTATTGAGCTATCGAGTCAACAGGGATTGGTAGCGAGTCTTATCCAATTTAAGTGCACGAAATATTTTCGTGACGACTTAGTATGTCAGATTCGTGACGACTTAAGTGTCAGATTAATATGAAACTAGTTTTCCTATCTCTGAGGATGGTTCTGAAATAGAATTGAAACACTGCGCGTCCTCAAAGACAAGCGTTAAGTCGTCACGAAAATATTTCGTGCACTTAAATTGTTTTGTCCTTTTGGGTTTCCTCTTTAATCTCTTTTAGTTTCTCATCTGTGACTTGTAGCACTGCTATGATTCCATCAACATGAGCTTCAACATGGCAGTCTGACTTACTTGCCAGCTTCAGGGGTGCTCTGGATAATGCATCTGGTGTATGCATCCACTTACCAGGAACGTACGAAAGTTTGAAATCATATTTCTGTAATCGTAATCTCAACCGCTGTATTCGTGGCGGGCTATCAATTAGTGATTGTTTGAAAATTGACACTAATGGTTTGTGGTCTGTCTCTATTTCGAATTCTTGACCGTATATGTACTGGTGGAATCTTTCACAAGAAAATGTCATGCCTAGTGTCTCAAGTTCAATTGTTGCATATCTGCTCTCACAATCTGTAACTGACCTCGATGCATATGCTACTGGAAGCCAATTTTCACCATGTAGCTGCTGCAGTACTGCTCCTAAGCCACTCCTACTTGCATCGGTTGAAATCTTTATGGGCTTGTTTGGATCGTAGAACTTTAACACAGGTTCGCTTGAAACAAGTTCCTTCAATTCTTTCCATGCTTTCTCTTGCTCATTGTCCCACATCCACAACACCTTCTGGTCTAACAACTTTCTTAATGGCATTGTTCTAGTGGATAAATCTGGTATGTATCTAGCAAGATAATTAATCATACCTAGGAATCTCTGGAGGTCTGTTTTGTTTCCAGGTCTTTCCATGTTCTGGATTGCCTCAACTTTTCTCTGATCAGGTTTCAATCCCTCAGCCGAAATTGTGTCCCCCAGGTAAGTCAACTGTTGTACACCCACTTCGCATTTTGCTTTTTGAAGTTTCAGTCCAACTTCTTTCACAACTTTCATTGTTGCTTCCAACCTTTGATCATGTTCTTGTGGGGTTGATCCATAAATGATGATGTCATCCATAGAAGTATCTACGCCTTCTAAGTGACTAAACAAAGAGTTAATGGTTCTATGATAAATCTCTGGGGCACTGGAGATTCCAAATGGGAGTCGTAAGTATTTGTATCTCCCAAAAGGGGTATTGAAAGTACATAAATTAGTACTTTCGTCTTCAAGCTTCATTTGCCAAAACCCATTTGAGGCATCTAGTTTAGTAAATACCTTGGCATTTGCAAATTGAGCTGTAACTTCGTCTCGTGTAGGTAACTTGAAATGTTCACGTTTTATTGATTTGTTCAAGTTTCTTGGGTCTAAGCAAACACGTAAGTTTCCATTTGGCTTAGTAACTGGCACAAATGAGTTAACCCACTCAGTCGGTTCTTCGATCTTTTCAATCACGCCCATAGCTTCCATTCGTTGTAGTTCGTCTTTGAGCTTATCATACTGCGCGAAGGGTATTTTGCGACAAGGCTCAACAACTGGTGTTGCATCATCTCTTAACTCGATTTTTACAGTATGAGGTAAACAGCCTAGTCCTTCGAAACAGTCAGCATATTTCTCACTTAGTTTTGCATTGTTATACCTGCTGCCCGTTAAATTATTCGAACTGTTCGACTGCTCAATAGAAAATGTTCTTTTCACAAGATTTAACTTTTCAGAAAGTTCCCTTCCCAAAATAGGTTTAACATCATCAGGGCTGATTAAAAACAGCGCTTTCACAGATTTCTCTTTCAACTTTAAGGATAAAATACACTGACCTTGCACTTGAACATCTCCCCCGTTGTATGCTTTCAGTTTAGTCTTCGATTGTTTCAACTTCGGTCTGTTCTGAAGTGTCTTAAACTCGTTATAACTCATTACATTGACATCCGAGCCAGTGTCTACTTTAAAAGTAACTATACTGTTGTTTACTTCCAATGGAAGTATCCATGGATCTGACTTGTCAGCGGTCGTTTCCGTCGAATAAACATAGAATTCATGTTCGTCACTAGACTCACTACTTGGTTCAGCGTCCCTCTCTTGTTTACCGTTGTTCTCTACCGCATCGACTCGATGTTTTCTTGGATATTTTGGCAATTCTTTGTCTCGGGTTCTACATTGACTCATAAAATGATTTTTCTTGTGACAATTTCTACATTCTTTTCCCACAGCTGGGCATTTATCATAACTATGGTTTCCCTGACCACATCTGCTGCAATTTAATCTGTTGTTATAAAATTTTTTATCTTTACCGCCGTTGCCCGTTAATCCTGAATGCGTTTCTCTTCGATAATTCCTTCCTCGACTATAAACTGCATCAATTTCTTCCGATTTACGTGACTTATCTGTTAAGGTTTTCATATGCTTGTCGGCAACTTCTGCTGCTTTGCACACGTCCATACACCTTTCTAGCGATAAATCTTTTTCTCGAAGAAGCCGTGCTCGAGTTCTGTCATTGCTGATTCCTTCGACAATCCTGTCTTTAACGATCGAGTTTGTAAGTTCTCCATACTCACAGTTCTTTGCTAATCGTTTCAGTTCCGTCACAAACTGCTCTACCGATTCGTCAGGCTTTTGTTTCCTCAAGTTAAACACATGCCTTTCGTGCGTGACATTTTTTTTTGGAAGACAATACGCTTCAAATTTCGCTACTAACGGCTCGATTTTATCTTTTTCTGTATCTTCAAACGTGAGTGTTTCGTAAACTGTAATCGCTGCTTCGCCAGCCAAGGTCAAAAACGTTGCACACTGTATTTTCTGCGACTTTTTGTCTTTCTCAGTAGCGGTCATGTATAGCTCGAAGGCTTTCTTCCAACGCCGCCAATTTTCAGCTGCATTTCCATCGAGTTTCAACGGTTTTGGGGCTGGGATTTGTTCTGCCATTTCGTGTTCTTGTATCTTTGATTAAAATCCCTTTTCTGACACCATGTAACGTTATATATTTTATTTATCTTATGCCGTATAAACTACATTTAACTTTACTTGATAACTCAACTATACTCAGTCCTTGTTCAACGTTCCTTCGACGTCCCATGTGCTCGCATGCATGAGTCACGTGATATCCTTACAGGCCTCTCTAATCTATGGGTTTTAGCCTGTGAATGGGTTTTTAAAAAAAATGTTTCTGGGAGAGAGGCCTGCCATAAATCGAACAAAATGGACTTGTCAATGTACCTAGTAGCTGTGTCAATGTACCCCACCCCCTAAGTAGGCTTTTGACCTTTATTGTATATTCAGTTTGAAATCTTTGGGCGAGGAGCGAAACTTGCAAGTAAAACTTTAAAAATTTTTTTGTGTCAAAATATTGAAGTTATACGAAAATTAATTGGTCAATTGAAAGGATTATATCCTGGATTATATATCGCAATGTACCTCGTGGTATAAAAAACGATGTGCAAATTTTGAATTGCTCGCTCAACGCAGCCAAATGTTTACAATTAATGATGGTAATAGAACGAATAGGAGTGCTATTAATGCCATAATCATACGAGTGATTACAAAATCAACCGACCGCGTAGCGGGAGGTTGATTTGTTAATCACAAGTATGATTATGGCATTAATAGTACGACTTTAATTTGTTCTATTACTTATTAATTATTTGCCTTCTGTAATCAAACTGTTTAAGGGGGAAAAGCTGAAAAATACAATTTGTTGAAGTTCAATATAATTATTAAATTTTTGTCACGACAATTCTTAGTGAAATAGTACAATTTTGAATTATTGTTTATCATATATAATCAAATTAACATATTATTAACTTCCGGGCATTATTTCCGGTATAATCACATGACAACATTTGTTTGAATTATTCAACACACAGTTGGGAAGCCATGTTTGTATGTTTATAACGTGTTCAAAATAGTGAAGTTCTTTAGTCCAATTAATCATCTGAATTGGATTGAAATATGACTCCTGGTTGTGTTTAGTTCGGTGTCTTCTGCTGGATGAACAGGTAGGTCATTTTCGTCAGAAAATATATAATTTAACAACCCTCGAAAATGAGATCTGCATTCGGCAATGCCGACCTACAGTATCAAAATGCTGACCTATCAACCTCCCATGTCAGCAATGTTTTGCCGACCTTAATTCAGCCAAAGTAATAATCTTTTTTGGTCCTTATAGCTGTTTAAAAAGTCAGCAATTATACAATTTGATGCATGTTGGTGTAAGGTTTAAGAATTAATGGGTATATTTATGATATAATTTAGGTAAAACTCTAAAAGAAAAGGCTTTGTGACATTTATACTTTTCAATGATTCGTAAATACGTGATTACTAGTGCAGGCTACTAGTGCTCCAAGACATGGAAACAGATTTTAAAAAATGCCGAGATGTACCGAGCTAGATCAGGTTTAGGTCGGCATTTTTTTTCCGACCTCAATTTTGACGGTTTTCGAGGGCTGATTTAAAAATTAAAAGGTCAAAATTTATGAATTCCTCCATTTGAAATTTTTTACAGCAATAAAGAAAATAAAATTCAAGGTTTGTATCCTGAATGCTGATTGGCTAGTTGTAAATACTAGACTGATTTTCATTGGCTGTAGACAAGAGTGCGATTACAGCTCAGAAAAGGTGCGATTAATGCTCAAATTGCACTCCTCTAAACCAATGAAATTGTAGTATTTGGCACTGATTACAGAAGATAAATAATTAATGTATAAATTGTTGAGCGAAGGAATTACAATTTGAGGAAATCATCTGGCATAATTTCGAAAGCAAAACGAAGAATGGAACGATAAGAAAGGTATAATTTGTTTAATAAAGGGATTATATTAAATTGTATTGTTTTCTGGAATAGTATTTTGGCATGTCTATTAAAGCATGGCTAATAGTTAAATTGGCTGTAATATCATGCAAATATGCTAAACCTGACGAAAAGCAGTTGGCATGTGACAACCTCTTTCTAATATAGTACTGTATATGCCTACTTGTGTTACACTTACTGACATCCATGATTTGATAAATAAAGGAATTTGTGTGTCTGCATATACAGGGTGTACAAAAAAAGTGCACAGATTTGAAATTTGCTCTTAAATTTGCAAAACAGCTATTAGTATCCAGTTTTTATGTATATAGCTTCTTTGGGTACTTATGAAAAAAAATGGAAAAAATTTCTCGAACTCAAATTTTGTGAACCAGGGGTGTGTGTCTTTTCCAACAAACTAAAAATGGCTTGCACACGAAATTTAAAAGCTTTAATCATATTTTAAGTTAACAGATGGAGAGTTTGTTGGGTGTTTAATTACTGTACAAAATTTCAGACAATTTGCTTCAGTTTACGCCCTTTAACCATTCATGCAAACTTACATTTTTACTTAAAAAATCACCATTTGCATGCTTAATCAAAGCCTTTACAGCAATTTTCTGTTTAACTTTAGACAATATTTCTTGTCTTCTTGTAAGAATACTCGACTTAATCTCATCATCCATATCTTCAGCTAAAGGTTCAGCAACAATTGTTCTGTCTGTAAAAAAGTGTCCAAAGTTAAATCTGCATGCAACATTCTTATATTTTCTACAAGTTTTACTGTGATTATGGGTCTGGTATGTTTTTACTAAATCATAAAGTTGAGGATCTGTTTCTTTGTCTGGTAGGTATGCTTGCACATTTCGATCAATGTAATCAATGTACGCATCTTTTGTATTGTTCGTTAATTCTGGACAGTCAGATGTCCATATTAAGGCGTGCAAATGTGGTGAACCTCTCATTTGAAATTCAATACGGAGTGCATAATATACAATTTTACCAATTGGGTTTGTATTTGTAAGCAAAACGTCTCTGAAAAATGTTTCGACTCGGCATTGAAAATGTTTTGCGACAATAACTGGATTTAAATTAAGCATTGAACATCGCTCATGATAGGACAGTGCCTCTACTTCTTCATCTGTTAAGTCATTTCCTTTTGTTTTAGCGATAATCTGAAATAGCTCAGGCCATCTTAAATCTGCACATGATAATGTCATGAACCATGTTGGTATTCCCAGCTGTTTAACCATTGCTACTACTTCATACATGAATTTTTGCCAGTAAGGAGGTGAGCCAGGAATTTGTCGTAAAAATAAATATGCTTGATCTTGCAAAAGAAGATTTTGAAAAGCTTGACTGTTTGATTTTACTTGTGATGCTGTGACTGACTGACCATGTACTTTTTTTAAAGCTATGTTAATACTATCAGATAGCTTTTTTTGTTCCATAATAAATTGTGCATAGAAGAGATACTCTGGATTAGTCGCAAATTTTCCACTGTAATGCAAGAGTCGAGCATTGAAATACTTTATTGGAGATAACTTTATGTCTCGCTCAGCAGTATAGCCAAATCTCACAAAGTTTATCAGTCATCATTGATACAGGGTGTTTACCTTCACCAGGTGCAATATTGAAAACCTCTCTTCCTGTTGAATTATCACAGTCGGTATTTTCAACACTAACAGGATAATTTGGCAAAATGGATTGAAGACATGTTTCACTTGCAGCTGAGCGATGTTCATTTAATGGGTCGTCTTGCTCTTCAGCCTCGTCATCGACCACTTCTTTAATAGCATGTGTTTGTGTTTGTGTTTGTGTTTGTGATGGTTCGTCTGTATTTTCTTGATCAGTTACAGGACAGTTCAAATTTGTCAAGTCTGAGCTGATATTCCTACAATGAATTTGAATATTTTTGTATAAAGGATTGTTTGCAACAAGCCAGTTTAATGCATTAATTACAATCTGAGGGCGAACTGCTTGGAAGTAAACATGACCTCTAAATTGAAGTTTCCTTTTTAATTTAAGTAAAATTATCCCAGATCTGTCAGGTGGTCTGGGAAGAACATTGCACGTTTGACTACATTCAACTGGCACATTGCATATTGCACCTTTAATTTTTCTTTGTTGTCCTTTCGGCATTATTACAATTTTTTCAAAAACTATTCTCTGTGCAATAAGAATTTGTTCAAGTTTCTCTAATGTAGCAAGCTCCCCTGGGGTTTCATCAACAAACAAATTATTAATCACGGCTTGACAGGGCTGCTGACCTTTTATTAATTTGGAGTGGCAAGTTTTGCAGATGTACTTTTTGCAATCAAACGAAGGTTGAATAACAAAACAATCTTGGCGAGGATATTTCTCTTTTTGTAAGACCATTACAGACTTTTTATACAATGTTCGGTTACACACACAACATATATGAAATGGTCCAGCTTTGATCTTCTTTTGAAATACTGTAATACACGATTCAATGTCTTGAGGTTGAGATATCTTTTTCAACCGATTTTCGCTCTCTTTATTCAGCACAACTGTTTTTTGATTTTCATCTAATGACATGTGCTTTTCCATGATTTCGTTGGAACGTATTGAAACCAACTCATTTTTACTTGGTTGATCCATTGCCTGGTATTTTTCTTTTTTACTTTCTAATATTTTTTCATTTTGTTCCTCTTCCATTATTTTGTAAAAGTTCATATTTTTTGTTAGCAATTCCTGTTTGCTTGTTTCATTTAAAGTTTGGTATTTTGCACTTTTGTTTTCTAATAATTTTTGTTTCCGTTCCTTGTAACGATTTCTCTTTTTTTTAGCAATTCCTGTTTGCTTGTTTCGTCCAAAGTTTGGTATTTCGTTCTTTTGTTTTTTAATAATTTTTGTTTCCGTTCCTTGTAACGATTCCAATTTTTTTTTAGGAATTCCTGTTTGCTCGTTTCGTCCAAAGTTTGGTATTTCGTTCTTTTGTTTTGTAATAATTTTTGTTTCCGTTCCTTGTAATGATTCCTCTCTTTTTTTAACAATTCCTGTTTGCTTGTTTCGTCCAAAGCTTGGTATTTCGCTCTTTTACTTTCTAATATTTTTTTCTTTTTTTGGTTATCGATAATTCTATAATCCTGATTTACGTGTTTACATGTAAGATGTCGTCTCGTTCGCCTCGTTTCAAGCTTTTGATCCTTTTTGGCCTGTGCCATTATTTGATTATTGTAGTTCTGGTTGTGTCTTCTGACAGTGCTTTTTCTTTCACTGTCGGTCACTCGAGAAGAGCAAGATAAATATTGAATTTCATAATAAACAACTTCTTCCTTAATTTTTGTATGTGCTAAGTTAAAGATAACATCAACTAGAGTTTCCTTATCATCTATATTCTTCACAAAGTGCGCAGCTGCAGTTGGTGAGGTATTATTGTCATCGTATGCTAATATTGAGTACGATTTGTTCTTTGATGTTTCTTGAAAAATGCAAGACATACAATATCCTCCAAGCCAAATTAAAAAACCTGTGATTGCATCCTTATGGCATATAAGACATTCCATGATCTTTTGTCTTTCTGTCTCTACATTCACTTTTCCTTGATAATTAGCTTGTAACTTAACATGTACTTCAGTTCCACATATTTCAATTTCTTTAGGTAGATCACTCGATGTATTTGTACCAGTGTTGTTATACAAAGCAGTGCCAAAATAAACAACTGCAGCTACTGTTTTTGAATCCCAGTAATTACTTGGTTTAATAATAGAGTAACAAATTGAATATAGTGAAATTGCTGAGCATTGTTTACACAGGTAAGAGCTGTCAGTAATTTGACTTTCTTGTGAGAAACTATCCAATAGATCCATACTTCCAATACTGTCTGTTACGTTCATTTCAACACTGGCACTGGCATTGACTTGTTCTAGTTCTTCAATAACTACTGCTTTCAGCTCAAATTGACTATTTTCACTACATAAAGATTGAAAATGCTGAATAACATTGTTGATAGTTTCTGCTTCTAACAATACACATGTACCTAGTGGGTGACTTCTGCCATATTTATCTCTTGAATGCGAATCAAAAATTTTTAATTTGCCCTCAATGCTTGAGTATACGCAAACAGCATTGGAGTCAATTGTTAATATAAATGCAGTATAGCCTTCAGTGAATAGCAATTCAAATGCTCTATGAAATGGTACACAGTATTGATACCCTTCAATGTAGCAATCTCCAATTACTGTACCGCTATAGCTTTCACTGTATGTAAGAAGATAATCTGTGTCAAATACAGTGAGATAAGAAGGTAACTCACTAAACATTAGACATGATTGTCTTGCTAAATGTGACAATTTTGAGTACAGTTCATTGCCAATATTCATTACTTGAATGAGGTCTTGCGGTGAACTTATCTCCTGTCTTTTGCTGTATATAAGAGCACACAAACACATGGCCAAACATTGTTGCCCTGCTGTTTCGCCAAATATAATTTGATTACCCTGACTATAAGGCGCACTTACTGTCTTGCTAGGATCAATATAGAATATGGCCGGTCCAGGATTTGTCTCAATATCGTTACATAATGCAAATCGACAGACATTTTTCATGTGATTATTATTTTTGTACTCATGTAGAAAATTTAGATTACGGCTAGTGCCTGAATTATAAAAGATGTCTGCAAGAATGCCTTGAGGAGCACTCAATCTGATATGTTTTGCCGTTAACTTTGTTCTGTGTCCGTTTTTTTTTAGTCAACATTGACATTATACAGGTAAGATCAGGATAACACCGTAAAGTCATTTGATTAATATGTTTATTCCAACAATTCCGTACAATATTATGAAGTTGAGAAGATCTAGGTACAGAACCTTTGAGCCTATGCCTATTATTGTTTTTAACTATAATACATTTTTTAAATAATAGTTGACATTTTTTAATTAATTTTAATTTTCGGCGTAACTGTTTTACTGAAATTCTACTGGGCTCACGGTCACGATGTTGATGATGGCGAAACTGACAACAGGTCTGTAACGCCTGTTTGTTATCAGAATAAAACAGTGAATGTCGCGATCTCGTGCCTTTTTTACGTACATGACAACGATCTTGGTTTACGGTACTGTTACTTGTGTGACATTTTAGGTTTAAGCAACATTTACCAGCAACTGACTGACGATTTGTGTACATATTTGTTAACTTGTTGGATAAGTTTTGTTTGAGGATGTTTTGCTGATTTGAATTTGTTTGATAGTTTGATTCACATTTTTGCACCGTTGTGGTAAACCTGTGAATGTGGTTTGTGGCGATATTTGTTGATATCTCCTCGTCTTTTGCATCAGAAATGCTAACCTGACGAGTCAAGGTTGTGTCGATAGCACAGTCGCTACCTGGTCGCCTTTTGCTTCTACCCGAAGCTCCCTGGCGATTCGAGGGATTATCCTCGACTCGTTGGTCGACAGGCCATTCGCTTCGACTTGAATATCCCTCGCGATTTAAGGGATTACGTTTACCAAAAGTAGGAGAAATCAAAATCAAAGGCATATTTCATTACAGTTCACAGAAAATACGAAAGTATATACTATTTAGACTGTGTCCCGGCAAAATCCAAATCTCAAGTGGCAGTGCAGGGGTAAAATCTGTGGTCAGACGAACAATTTTTGGAATTCCTTGCCATGAGTTATGAAATTCCTTATATTTTCCCAAAAATTCCTTCAGTTTGTACAAACTCGTTTTAAACTCAATTTAATAACTTCATTTACAAAAAATTATATTTGAGGCCCAGAAACACCAGTCACGACTGTATAAATGTTCATACTAAGGTTAAATTTATTTGAAAAATCAAATTAAAAAAGCCTTGAAACTATGGAAAATTCAACGAGGCTGGCAAAATTCCTGTTTTCAAGGAGAAATCCTTATAAACGTGAAAGCTCTGTCTGGTGTTATTTTTAGCCTGATTTTTAGCTGACGTCGGCATCATGTGATAACATGACATGTTTACGGAAGCTTATCACGTGATCTCTTACAGTAAGAGTACACACGTAAAAACGCACAAGTTTGTTACAAGTCTGTTCACAAGCTGTTACCAAGATGTATTCGCACTGCTTGTCACAAGTTGTCAACAGGTTTGGAACAACTTGTTGACAACTTGTAACAACCTTGTCGAAATTATCAAACTTGTTGCAAGGTTGTTCTGACAAGTCTGTGACATGCTTGATATAACAAGATTGTTACAACCTTGCGTTGACAACATTGTAAGATCCTTGTTATATCATGGCTGTAACAAACTTGTTAGCACAATCTTGTAACAAGGCTGATAATGTCATCAAGCTTGTTACAAGTTGTTAACAGCTTGTTTCAAACTTGTTACAACAAACTGGGAACAAGCAGTGCGAACACAACTTGTTGACAGCTTGTAAACAGACTTGTAACAACTTGTGCGTTTTTACGTGTGTACTGAGAGTAATCTCACCAAGGACATTTAAAATCACTAAAAATGAACATGCTTTAAGCATCCTAAACCAATTTTGTACCGAAGGTGTTGTAGATTAGTATTTACATTAACATTATTTCCGTAATTTTGAAGTATAAAGTTTTTAAAATATTTTATATATCCGCGTCATCTATGATCACGTGCAGGCAATGTTCATGCCATGTTAAATTCCCGTAATTTCCCGGGATTTTTCCCTGTGACAATATCACGTGATAGCTATATAAGCACCATGCAATGATGCAAGAATGTTATTGAGTTATTGTCTCAGTCAGAAGTGTCACGCTTGAATTAGTTTTAATATATGTGCGTGGTTGATAAAAATGGCAAGCAGATCAAGCGAAGGGAAAAAGTTAGCAAATGTAGACGGTTACATTCATGCAGTGTCTGAGGTCAAGAGTTCGCCATCAGGGGTCCGTTATTTTGATTTTAAAGTCCAGGAGAGGGACGAAAAACGGCAAGCTGTATGCTTTTCTCCTGAAAAGCGTGATGCAATCAAAGAAAAGGAAGAATGCAAATCACCAGTTCGGTTGTTGAACGTTAGCCCACAGAAACGAAAATTCGAGCCTGACTCTACAGAATATAAGCTGACCAATCAATCCAAGATAATGGTGACGAAGAACTTGACGTTTCCATGGGCAGACATGTCAGAACCCAATAAACAACTCACAGTGCAGGACATATATGATACAATGACAACTGGCGACATTGTGTCAGTAAAAGCCAAAGTCGTTTGGAAAGGGGAAATGGAAACTGTGTACTTGCGCAGCATGAGAAAGGAGCTTACAAAATGCGAGATAGTGTTAGCTGATTCCACTGGAGCAATTATAGCCACCATTTGGGAGGATACGATTCCTCATGTTTGTGACCAAAAGTCATACGTGTGGTCCAACCTGAAGGTCGGCTTCTATAAAAGAAAATGCTTGAATGGGACAAAAGATTGTACGGTCACGATATGCGAAGATGTAAGCTTGTCCGTCGAAAGTTCAGCGGCCTCGGAACAGCTAAAACCAAAGAAGAAAGAAACACAAGATGTTACTGGCCGAATAGTGGCAGTTGACGTCAACAAGTTTTTTCTTTGCATGAACTGCAAAAATCGACTTGCATCCGCCGACGACAGCGACGCCGATGGTGAATTTATCGATTGTTCACCATGCAAACTAAGAATGCTGAAAGAGAACTTGGATTCGACTGTTTCCGGGAGTGTTATCATTGTTGATGAAAGTGGTGAAAATTTGGGTCGGTTTTATTGCCAAGAGAATGTGCTGAACGTGATGTTCCAATCGGTCGCAGAAACGGAAAATTACAATATTTCTGAGTCAAATGTCGCCCAGCTGTCACGCAACATGATTACGGACACGCTTCTTTTAATCAAGAAAGTTTCGTTCAAGATATTATCAACGGACAAGTTGGTTGTGGAAATGAAAGTAGTTGGCCAGTAAGAACTATGTCTGGATATGAACAGAAAAATATGGTAAAAAACATAACTCTTTGACTGTGTTGTTGTTAGCTATGGATCAAGTTTATATTCATTCTCTTAGATTATAAGTTTTGTTGTTCAATACACCTAAAACGTCTAGACACGTTAATCTGGACACAAACAATATGTATCGCAACTTAAAAGTGGTAAACATATGACTATGTCTGGACAAGTTTTTTGTTGTTGTTAATATCGAGTTACATGTTTTATAGATTGTATAAGACAAAAAATGCGAGTGTGGAAAACACTATATCTTGTTGTAATTGGGTTTTATTATTTTCTTAGAGTATATTTAAACAAAATATAGTGTTTTCCACCGTTGCATTTTTCGTCTGCAACTATAATATAGTTGATATAATAAGTTCCTTGTAGTTTTGCATGTTAATATATATTAAAAGTTCTTTGTTTACTTGTGAATTTCAAATTGCTTGAAGTTTTATAAATATACAAAACAAACTCTGAGAAAGATGTTCATCTTGACATTCAAGATTTAAAGAAACAAGAATGTCATTAATTGATGAGACTCTTATTTGAAGTTTGTTTGTTATATTCATATTTTGAAGTGGTAGTTCCTATTGAATTAGATTTTGGAAGGTTTAATTGACAGTGATTTTTCTTTCTGGACATTCTGTGGGCTATTCCATTTAAAAGATGTACCCCCCGGCCCCTATCAAGCACAAGGGTTTTAAACGTTTTATCCATGTCCCTGAAGAATTCCTGTCGTAAAAGAGATCCCTGAAGAATTCCTGATAATACCCATAAAGAGATTGAGACCCTGGAAGAATTTCAATTTTTTCATTTGACCCTTGAGGAAAATCTCATTCAAAGTATCCATTAAATAATTCCACACGAAAATTTGCTTATCCCTGAAGCTATGGATTAATTCGCTACCTAAATTTCAGAGCTAAAAATCACCTTACCCCTGCTGCATTCCAAGCTGGAATAGCCCAATTTGTGCAAAGTGTTCATAGTTTTAGTATAATAATCCATTCATATCTGAGGATTAATACAAATTTGTGTATTTTTATTTCAACTTGTTTATAACAAATTTTACAGCACAAAAATTGTTTATCAGTAAAGGAGTCATTTGAAATTAACCCATTGAGCGGCAGCACTAGCTCTCCCCCTGACAAGTAAAACTGTCTGGCATTAGACGGAGTAAAATAATAAAGTAGGGCACATGACCCTGGATTTGAAAATCATGTGAGTTTAGCCAAGATGAGTTACTTTATTATAAGAGAATGGGCCAAGGCACATGATGCAAGCTAAATATTTTTAAGATATATTAATTCGCTTAGAAAAATGTGCAAATTGCTTGGCATATCTTTCACCTAGTACCTTATGAGTAGGGATATATCTGTGTACTATTCTTGCACTATAAAAACCATATAATATTGTGATTGGCAGATTTTTCTTCACTAGTATGAAATCTGGATGTTGCCAATGCATTCAATATGATATGGAAAGTCATATATTGGTGCGGAATTTAGCTTTTTACACCTAACTGATGCATGTGATAGACAGTTTTTATATTTCACACCCTGAGCTATTGGCATTAAAATTTTACATAACTCTATATTTGCAGTAGTCAGTGGGATAGAACTGAATCGCTAGCAAAGAGGGCCCTCAAAGGGGAAGGGGGTTGACAAGATGTGGGGTGACAAGGCATTGAGGGTGCAACCTCATAAATATGGATAGTTCCAGTATTCATTTTTGGTTCTAGCAATTAAAACAATCTGAAATACAGAAGCTATTTCATGTTGGAGCCACATAAAATATCAAATGGTAGGATCATAGTAACCAAGGCAGTTTACTGATTTGCAATCTGCAAAATCAAAATTATGAATTACGACATGAAATTTTCAACAAGGGGCGAACCCCTAGGAGTACCCTGGTTCCAGACGTTCTGCGAGGCGAAAGAAACGAGAGGCGAGAACGGAGTTGCAAGTAAAAATATTTTATGTGAATACATATTAATGACAGTTTACAACATGAACATGGGAGTTTTTAAACTAATAGTTCAGTCCTAACAGAATAAGAAATAGCAAGACTGTGTGTACTGTTACGTACCTCGTGTGCGCTGTGTCACTTCAAAACAGCAAACATTTGAACCTTGAGATATAGATCGAGCTGCCATGCAAATACTGTATATGACGGCTCCAAATATACAACTCAAGTAAACGAATTACGAATACGATTTTTATGCAGACTACTGGAGCAAGCAAGACAATAAGCCTTAAGCGTATAGATAGATATAAAACTTCACAAAACAAAAATAACGTTCAGAACTATTATAGTTCGACGAACAAATAACACATTGAATAAGAATCCAGCTCGGAAACCACTCCACTCCTCGACAGTGAAACGTCGACATAATTCTGTATATTCTTGATGGATTTCTTTCAAAAAGCCCCCAGAAGAACAAGCGTGATTGAAAGAACAATTTGACGTTCACTTTATACACTTACGAAGACTTTAAGACCGTCAAAATAGCGAAAATATATGCACGTATTGCTTCGTATATAGATCAGTGGGAATTTCCATTTTGCGACTATCCATGGAGAAGGAGAAGGAGACCAAATTCACCCGAAACCTATAGTTGCTGGCACAGGTGCCCCAGCAACTAATAAATAAATAAAATAAAAATAAAGAGGTAAGTATATCTCTTATCAGTAGCCAGTCAGTCATATCTCTTATCATGATCAGTAGCCAATACAAATATATCACAAAATTTGCGAACTTCGAAGGCCTATATATTTCCTTAATTTTACAACATTTAGCAACCAATCTTTGCAGCTTTACTCGTTCTAAGACGCTCTTTCTAGCTGTGGTGTTGGATTTTGTTCTTTTCAGTGACACAAAGTGACAATATACCGTAAATTTCCGAATATAAGCCTCCCCGAACATAAGCCCCCCCCTGTGTATAAGCCCACCACATGTACTAATGCTCACCTCATTCCAAATATAAGCCCCCCCCCCCCGAATATAAGCCCACCCGAATATATATAAGCCCACTTGTTTATCACTATTGTTTATCACTATTACCACTATTATTACTATGCTTAATTAACACTTGTTTATCACTATTGCTAAAGGGTCAGAAAACTAACGTTCGAACAGTAAACTAACGTTCACAAAAATTTTTCCGGATAAATTCCTATTACAACATGGGTCAAATCCTTTTTTTCGATGAATAAATGTAAAATTTGAGTTTAGAAAATTTTTTCTCATACCATTATTTTTTTCTTTCAAAAAAGTTCGAAATATTTTTTTGCCCCCAGTGCCGCCCTCCCCTCTGAAAGGCCCTAGATATACTTGCAGTGAACGAACAAACTTTAAACATATAAGTATATTATAATAATACATATTCATCACAAAATACAGTTCCTAAGAATAGCGTCTTTCACATTTTAAGTGAAAAAAATTCCGATTTGGCAGGGCTCAGATGCTATAGTAAAATCACTCAAGTCAAAGTTTTAAATTAAAGACTAATTAATTCGCACAAGTCGACCGCTTCCGGCCACGAGTCACGAGCGAGGAAAAACTGTGTGAACACTAACACTATAACATATGTTGGCAGTAATCTAACACCGCTAACGGGCTTACCCGCGGTTAACAGTGATTTACCAAGCCAAGGAATCGAGCTCGGAATCGGACTTTACGTAGAATTCAAATTTTCAATTTACCACTGACTAAAAAAACTTCTTAAAGACGCCACTTTTTCAGGCGAATTTGTTTGCGCAAAGCGCGCTGCGCGCGAAACAAATTTTAATTAATTTCCTGTTGTCTTGTGGAATAATCAATGTTTGTCATCAATATTGCAACTATAGAAGCATTTCACTTTTAAAAATGTCTAGTCTTGTTCAAGATTCGTCCCTATATACACGGAAAACCATTTTTTTAAGTTTAAATATAGGTAATGAGATTATGAGAACCATATTGATGTCCTATAATAATAATTTTATGCCACAAGTTAGATCAAAAAGTGTGGAGTGAAATATGATGATGTGATGCCTTTGTGTTGTTGGCACTGATGTAGGACATATCAAAACTTATGTTGTATTTGAAGAAACTGAGGTAAAAAATCAAAAACAGCGACTTGTTATTTGTAGCTATAAATGTGAACCTAAGAAATATAAGTACAGGTGTAGATTTATGAAACATAAAATTCGAGACGCATTGTCCTGTGGTGTAAAATATTTGATCTTGTCTGGAGGCATGTACAAATAAGCCAGAGATGGACTGAAGGAGACAGTTATGTGTGTAAAATTCAGTATTCCTGTACGCGGCGTTTCGTGACGTCCTTCATGGACTCGTCAGCAGGGATTTAGAGTTGGCACATGTGTATGAAGGATAGAATACAGAAACCTATTTGGATTACAGACTGAATATAAAACAAAAATAGCAATATATGTGATTTAATATGTGTATGACTGTTGTAAAATAAATGTAAAGTAGACTATAAAGTATAATAGTTTTGTTTGCGGAAACACCACGTAAATTTATTACTGTAAAGCTTTCGATCCGTATGCCCGAATCTTCATCAGTGCTAATAATATAGGCTATAAAGTGTTTTTACCAAATCCGCTGATATTTTTTTCCAAACCAACACGTTCACGTTGGGCCATGGTGTAATTACTAAGGAATGTGGTATGACACTATAACTATACAGGGGGTATAAAAAAAACACATCCCAAATGGGAAATTTCCTCCAACTCAGATATTCCGCAAAATTTGGGATATTTTTTGTAACCAAGGCAAATTAGCGCTCGATTCCTTGGCTCATTATATAGCATATCTCGTTTACGCATATTTGTCTGAGACAATAAGCACTATTTCATGCACCCAAATCGCTGTCCCAGTATTTATATGCTCACGGTATGCCAAAAAGTCCATGAAGATCATTTCAGTCGATGAAGTATATTACAAAAACTCTTATAGAATAACGTGAATAGTCGAAAT